TCTCTACCCAAACTGTTTTGTACTGCATGAATAACCCTGTCCCTCTCCCTTCTTCCAGAGCTCTCAATGGAAAGCTAGGCAGTATAGGAAAGACTATAGTTCCTTCTTTCATACAGCTTTAAGTCAGCTTGAGAAGTTTGCCCTGCAAACATCTTTATTTGACAGATGACCTGGCAGAATCCCCTACTCCCTAAAATGTGGTGAGCTGGGAAGGTCTTCAAGTTAGAGCTTGAAACTTAAAACAAGAACATCAGAAGTTTAAAATGTTAGCTTCTAAAATGAATTATTTTTAAAATTAGAACTCTGTTGCAGATACAAAGAAGAAAGGGCACCAAATGCGAATAATGAGGGATTCTAATTCAGGAGGCACAGTGGGGGCAAACAAAACCTGGTATTATCCAACACAATGAACAAGAGGGCTCAGTTGCAACTGCACCCTGTATTTAGGTTGAACAGTGCAGGCTCCATCTCGGGCAACTTCTTGGTTAGTGGGAAGTCATCTTTGGACACCCATAGCAAACCAAAGACTCTATCTGACTTCCCAGGACTGTCTTAAGAGGGCTGATGTCCTGCAAAGCCAGCAAGGGGGCTGTAGACTTTCTCAAAGCTAATGAAACATCTTCTTAACATTTATTATAGAATCTACAATGCTTTACTCTTTTGTCTGTATTCCCCAAGAACGTCTAGGCCTTTGGGCATCAGATATGGGGATGTGGCTCAGTTGGTGGCATGGTGCCTAACATGCATGAAGCTCTCTGGGATCCATCCTGAGCACATAGATGACTACACTCCAGCACTCTGGAAGTAGGGAAGGTACCTGGAATATCTAGCACAGACTCTGAACTACAGTAGGACAAATAGATACACACAGAGTCAATCAGCTTGAGTGAAATCAGAGTGAAAGGGGCCAGGGCTTGCGGTCTTAGAAGAAATGCAGAAAAGGTAGTGGTGGAAGACTCAATGATAGTAGCCATCCCTGAAAGCATCTTAAAAGCAGCAGAGACAGGGGACCACATGGGCCAACAATAACCGGAAAAACGGAACTCAGTCTAAGCATATCACAAACCTATTACTTAATTTAAAAAAAATACTAAGCCACTAAAGTCAGACTGAATCTGAAATCACCAGGCGTGCGTACAGGCACGTGCCCATGCACATGTATGCACACACACACACACATCTATGTATGTTAGGTGGGTGTGGGTTTGGAAGGCTTGGTCTCTAGCTGGAGAAGCTCCTGAGGGGTGATGGGATTGTGTGAGTTCAAGCTAAGGAGTGGGTTAATCCACTGATGAACTCATAATCCGATGGCTTTACTGGGGATGACAGAAGCTAGGAGACTGGGCCTGGTTGATGAAAGGTCATGAGGGTGTGCCGTTGAAGGGCCTCTTTCCCCTCTCCCTTCTTCCTTTCTCTTTGCTCTCCTCTCCCTCCCCGGGTCTCTCCTCCTCTCTCTCTCTGCTCCCCAGCTGTCTTGAGGCCAGCCGCTTTCTCTATCACATGCCTCTACAACCATGATATTCTGCCTTAGCCTGGGCCCAAAGCATCATGGGTTTATAACTTCTAAAACCATGAGCTCAACGAAATCCTTCTTCTTTTTACAGTATTTTTCTCAGGGATTCTGTCACAGCAACAACAACAACAAAAAATGACTATCATGGATGGTATTGATAAATTAATAATTAATATCCCATAACAGGACTGTTGTTTAAATTTGTCTTTAACAGCAAGAAGAAAAAAAAGGTTAAAGACACATCCGTGCAGCCATGAAATCTATACCAGAGCACAGACACACTTCGCTGGCTGTGAGGACTGTTTTTGAATCTCATTCAGGATGTTTACGTTCACAGACAGAGCTCAGTTTGGCTAATTACCCTTCTACATTATCAAAGGAGCCTTCACTAAACAACACTGAAGGAACAAGGTGAGACAGGTATCCTTTAGAGTTAAAGGAAAGATACAAATACACAATCAGATGATCCCGGTCTTTATCACCACAGTGATTTAAGGTCACTTGTCTAAAATACAAGCCCTTCAGAAAACAAACACAGCCAGACAACAGCTGCTTCCCATTAGCAAGCCAGTACCTTTCCAGGGTGACAGGAGCTTCATTTGCTGGCGCTTCATTTGCTGGCCCAACTTTTCCAGTCACCCTGGAAGGGTACTTTAGGCTCACATGGATAGCCTCTGACCAGAATGGCCTCTGCCACCTTTTTAAAAATTTTCTGGTTTTGGTCCAAAGGATGGGACCAAGGCTTCGCGTGTGTTAAGCGTATACTCTGACCACAGTTTATACGTCACCTTTCAACACAGTCTTCATAGGGCTCCAGGAAAAGACTGCAGACATGGAGAGACAAGTCCACCTCTGGTTGACTGAAGGGGTTCTGAACTCTCAGTGAAAAACATTTTAAATAGAAATACAGTTGTCATAGAGAAAGCAACAATTTGCAAAGAGAAAGTAACAATTTACGTGCCCGAAGTAGCAGGCAAAGCTGAGGGAAAGAGGTGTTCTGATGATTAATTACACTCCAACTAACTTCCTCCATTCTGGTCCCCTGCTCAGTGTTCAAGAGACTTGCCAATTAGTTCCTCGTGAATCACTCCACTCGCTCCAGTTCCTTTCTAAGTCCGAATGCCGAGATTTGCACACACGTAAATATCAACTTCTCCGGTGTTATTTTTAGGGGAACAGAGTGGTGCCTTAGTCTTAGACAGGAACACAACTGTCATTTTAGGATACTTTAAAGCCACTTTTTTTCTGCCACAACAAAATGGAATCATTTTCCATCTCTTCAGTAGAACTGATGAGGAGAAATGTAAAGATTTCAATTCAGTTATCAATCAAGAAGCATATCAAAGTTCTGTAGTGGGGCCCTTGAAACTCAGTTTCTGTAAAATGCCAATAATTTTCATAATCATTATTGCTGTTCTTTCTATGCATGGCACACGTGTGTTATGTGCATATAGGTGCATGTACATGTAGAGGCATGTATGTTGTATGTGGGTATGGGTGCAACTACATGTAGATGCATGTGTGTTATATGTCGGTATGGATGCAAACACATGTAGACATGCTGGACATGACATAAGGAGTCACATCTCCACTGCTTCCCGCCCTGTGTTTTGAGTCAGGGTTCCTCATTGAAGCCACAGCTCAGTGACTAACTGACTGGCTGGCCAGTGAGCTCCAGAGACCTGCCTGTCTCCACTGACTCGTACCAGGCTCTACCACAATATTCCAAACTTGAGTCCCCACGCTTGTGTAGCAGGTTCCTTGTTGACTGAGCCACCCCACGGGACCTGTTATTTTCTAATTAAAATGGCAGGCTGCAGGAGTCATACTCCAGAGTCAGGCAGAGATTTCAAAGAATCCATGGCTTGTTTAAATGCAGTGACAGTTCTCAGACCACATGAAATGACCCTTCCTTACTTCACACAGATCTCTTTTCTCACTCCAGTAATTACTCTGTAGAAGACACTCACTCTTTCAACCACGAACATCGCTCCCATAACTGTCCAAACCTGGTGCTGACGTCAGAGCCATCTGAGGGAAGGAATACCCAGATTCCGCATATTGCATCCTCTATCCCTGAGCCTCTTTTTGGTAGCCAGACGTTCAGCTCAGAACCCGAGCATCTGGGGAGCCTATGACCCTACAGGTCACCCGGGCAGTGGCCTCATGCTGATGAAGCACAGCAGAAATTCTCAGAAAGGTTAACAAAGGTGGGTGGGAACAGGAGCCTAATCTGTAGGAAGGTAGGCTAAGCAGGTACAGATTGCCTGACTGAGCCTATTCTTCAAGAGAAACCTTAGAGCAAGCTGTGCCCGTGTAGCACTTGTAAGACTGCCTGAGGTAGCAACATGGCACTGATGCAGGTTTTAAATTTAGAGCAAGTTAGAGAGTGTGCTTATTTATCTGAGAAGACGTAAGACAAGTTAGTACTCAGATTTCTGCTTTAAAACAAGCAAGCAAACAAAAACCAAACCTTTAGTACTTATTGATCTGCTGTCTATACAAAGATCAAGGAACCACTGGCAGGCATGGTGGTTTGAAATGAGAGTGCTCATATATTTGAATATTTGGTTGTTAGTTGGTGGAACTATCCGGGAAAGATGAGGAAAAGGTATGTCTTAAGAGGCAGGCTTTGAGGTTTCAAAGACCACACCATTTCCAGTTAGCTCTCTCAGCTTCATGTTTGTGTCTCAAGATATGATCTCTCAGCTACTGCTCTGGCACCATGCATGTCTGCCGCCATGTTCCCCGCCATGTTCCCGGCCATGATGGACTCAATCTCTGAAACTGTAAGCTCCAAATAAACATCTTCTTTCATAAGTTACCTCAGTCATGGTATCTTATCACAGCAGCATAAAAATACCAAAAAAGCAGGCCTTCAATTAGTAGACTGATCAGAGAGCAGCAGATACTTAAAAAGTTATATCACATTTCAAAGTCAAAATTGAGACTGTGCCAAGTACAGAGAGAGAAGCCAGAGCACATCGGTACGTGAGAAGGAGGACACACAGAACTGTGCCGGTTGGTAGGTTCCTGCTGGTGATGGGAGAGCTGTGGCCCCGCTACAACCCACCACCCTGAGCCACAAGCACAGCCTGAGGAAAATGCTGGGGCTGGAGATAGAGTTTCCTTCCCTACTTACAACCCACAATTCCTGCCTAAGATTCCTAGTGGCCTCTGCCCCAAAAAAAACCCCATGAATTTAACACACGTATACATGCTTACATGGGTGATCAGACACTGACTCTAGAAAGCAGAAAGTAGCGTGCCTGACAAAAACTTGCATCTAGAAGTGAGAATATTCACTCTTAAGTGCTGTCTTCTTTTCCTAGACATCTCACTGAAATCAAACCACACAGATCCCTTTACTTAAGAGAATGCCTAACTTCAGAATAAACACTGAAACTGAGCCTGCAAAGGATGCTCAAAGGAACAGAAACACACGTTCTACTTGACAGAGCAAATCCATCTTACAAAAGCAGCTCACCTGGAAATCTTGGTCGTCGATTCCAAACCTCTCTCGAAGATTCCGGAAGACCATCGGGCAGTATTCCTTAAACTTGAAATGGCTCGGCATATTTTCCCTGCAAGGGTCACATTGTGGAGTGAGGCTCAGACAGACAGGAGGGTAACAGGCTCCACTCTGTCCAACCTGGACCTGTGTGTAGCCATTAGGTGGTGTGGGCCCACAGCAAGCACAGAGGATTCCACAGAACCAGGTACAACCCAACCAGATCGGACAGAGGGACAGACTGAAAATGCTGTCTGCTCTCACACTGGGACTGTGGTACCCCCTAACACTGGCTGCACACACTAGCCATTCCCCAAGAAGAGGGGTGAGGAGGGACAAGCTGGAAGAGCAGAGGGCAGTGAGAAAGGACAGGGACAGAGAGCTCACTGTGGAGACAGCTGTCAAACAAGCCTCACCTCACACCCAAGATCCACATTCTAAATTCACACTGAGAACATTTCCTCACTGTCAGGTCCAAGAGAAACTCAGGCCAAATGGCTAACCATTGGCTAATGGTGCCAATTAGCATACCAGAGCCCGGGCTGGCCTCCAGGCTCACCTTCAGCTCTTCTCACCCCATCCCTACCCTAAACTTTTCCTGCTCCCTTCCCCCAGCTCCCACTCCTCTGTCACCCTGCCCTTTCAGCCCTGTGCTCTCCTGGCCCACTCTCGCTCGCCTCTCTCTTGGTCCATTTGTCCAACTGACCATTTCTCTTGTCTTGGCTTTCTCTTTTGTTTTCCTTCTCACTCCTCGCTGTCCCCTCTCATGGCCCAGTTGAGTCTGCTGACCACGTTCTGGGTTCTATTTGTCTCTCCTCTGGACCCTTCCAGATGCCTCTGGCTGCACGCTCCCTTGTAGCTGCAATAAAGACCTCCCCCCTCAACCACACCTTTGCGTGTTTATACTCTCACAAAGTCAACCTCTAAACATGACTGTGGGGACTCATGAGTTCACATCAGAACAAAAGCATGGCTAAGACACTGCATGTAGAAGTGGGAGGTAGCTCAGCGGTAGAGCACTCGCCGAGCATGTGGGAGTCCCTAGGTTCAATCCCTAGTACTACAACCAAGAGAAGAGGAGGAAAGATGTTTCACACTTACCGTGATATGGGAGGTTACTCTGAGGCTCACCCCACTCATACAGACCTGCCCCTCCTCTGTGCTCTCACAGAACGATAAATACAATTTGTGGACACCCCTCTATTACTGTTCTTTGTACAGGAATGACAATGATTTGTGTATGTGACAGTCTCCAGCTACTGTCCCGGTTGCAGTCCCTGTGGAGGAAGGGCTATGCTGTAGCTCCAGATTTCGGATGAACTGACTAATACGGAATTCACTTTCTTTATTGACATCAAAGGTATCTCATTCACATGACAAACATTACTGATGCCCAAACATGACATCCAGTTATGTTTTATAATAACACGCCTTAATTATTTATTGTTGTATAATGTAGTCCTTTCTATTCATAAAGCCCTGTTTTTAGAGTTTTGTGTATAAGAGCAGAAGTTCATAACTGCTCAAACAATCCAAGTAATGTACAGCTCCCAAACTTTAAATAGTAATGAGGGCATCACTTTTAATGTATAAGATACTCATAGGGAACAATATGCCATATGGCAAAGGGATATTATCCCAGAGGGCCTGCTGCTGCTTCTCTGAATATGACAGATGGCTGTGTTTATCACAGGATTAACTTCATCAGCAAAACTTTACTCCCACCCATTGAAAAAACCGTACAATAACAGAAAGTCACAAAAAAGTCCTAGTCTGCGCAGTCAGGGAGTCTCTGAGAGGCTGAACCATACTTACTTGTTAAAAAGGTGGTTGTCCACCTTTATCTTTGAGTAGGCTTTGAAGTCATCAGGCATCAACATGACAGGGATTTGAACATGGCTCAGTTCATTGATCTAGAAAAACACAAAGTAGACAGCAGTGGTTATTAACATCCTAGTGAGAATAACCAGTTCTTCCATGTAAAAAATACCCGTGAGCACAGGAATTCTGCCTGCCCTGGGCTTCCCACCAGGAACTCTTTCCTCTGCTTGTCCTCACTCCTCCCAGCTCCCACCCAGGTTCTTCTCCCTCACACTGGGCCTGGGTGGTGCAGGAGGAACACAGGGGGCCAGTCCTTAAGGCTCTTTATCCCTTAGGGACACTCCATCCTCAGTCTGTCTCCCTCTCTCCTTCTAGACCTTCAACCCCACTGATCTCACCTCAAGGAAAACTTTCTCTGTGAACAAAGTGTTATCTGAGGCAGAGAGATTTTAAACTGCCAAGCTATTTGTTGAATCAACAGACACAATTTATATTTTGGAGCATCTCAAGAATGATTTGGATGTCCATATATTCCTCTTTCTCACAGAGACTGTGTTTAAACATAAATGTCCGGATGGAGCTTGAACATGACAGTTGAGACCTTCACTCAGGAAGAAGATGGCTTCACGGGGTTACATGAGAATGAGACGCTCAAACAGGGCTTAAGGGCAAAAGCAGAGTCACTTGGGCATCTGGAGGAGGGGGATGGCAAGTTTGAAGCCAGCCTGGGCTACCGAGTGAAGCTATCTCAAGAAAAACACAAAAAGCAAAGGCACAAGCTTCAGAGGGCAAAACACAGAATCCCATTTCCTTGATAGCACAGGAAGTGGCAGTGGTGGATCTGATGCGTGACTGTGGCTTTCTTCTCTTGGTTGTTTGCACTTGATCCCCATGCTATTTTCTCCCTTGCTGATTTCAATAAAAACATTAAACCACTTTAAACATTTGTACTTCCTGCAGGATGGAAGGTACTCTGAAGGGGTTTTGGTTGCAGAAAGCAAAAACAAAACCAAGCAAACAAGCAATGAGTTTCTTGCTAGAACAGGGATTTGAATGCACTAATGACTTCTTAGAAAGTGAGCATGATTTCAGGACACTGTTCTTCCTGCAGGGCAGCTTGGAGGCTGATGCTGGCTCCAACACTGTCAGGCAAAGCTGATGGCAGTTGGTGACTCAGAGGCTTTAAGAGAAAAGAAGAGCCTGAAAAGTGTCAATGCAAAAGGTAGAAAATGAGGTGTGAAAAAATGGGGCTTGGCTTTGGGGCAGAGCTTAGAGTCCATTTGCCCTCTGAATTGGAGGGGTCAGAGGAAAGAAAGGCATTGAGTACATGCTGTTGGAGTCTGGATCAGGGAACAGGCATGGAGATGGATGGACAGATGGACGGACAGACAGATTTCAGCAGGCGGTTGCTTCTGCTACTGCAGCTGCTACTACTACTGCTGCCACTACTACTACTACTATTTTGTGGTGCTAGGATAGGGTCTTGTGCTCTACCACTGAACTACACACTCAGCTCTTATCAGTATTTAAACAAGAATTTCTGTCTTGATAGATATTTAAATTGAGAACACACACACACATTTGTATAGGTTTATGATATTCACAGAATGAGACACAAATATTTGTAATTAACTCTTACTATATTGAAAGAACAGCCCCCACCCCTTAGAAATAAGCATATGTTATAAAATCCAAATAGTTTTTGATTTCTGGAACTAAGAGTGGAGACAAGCAAACTGAAAGTACTGGCTACATTACTCAGGGCACATTCTATAGGGCTGCAAATATTTAATGGACTCTTACAACACGAAGGCAGCAGCATCTTTATGGGGCGGCGGGGGGGGGGGGGAGCAGGGCGAACATAATGGTTGTCAAACCACTCTGGTACAGCCACTCTTCTTCTGCTTAGACAGACAGTCATAGTTACCATCCTATGAAGCTCAGAACTTTTCTAAGTGAATCAGACATATTCCCTGCAGAGAGGCCATCAGCTGGGTCTCCCTGTACCCAGTGAAGGACCTTGTGGTTCTGTTTATGCTGTACCCGTCACCCTGTAAAACACAGGTGCTGCTTTCTGCTGAGCCATTGGGTACAGAGACTCACAGTGCCCAGGCCTTGCATACGACATGAAATAAAGGAGCTTTGTTGTCAACATCAGTGGACGCAAGGCTGTGGTGTGGTGGGGAGGGCCGCTATAAATGTCTGTTAGGACCAAGTGCCCAAATGACTTGACCGCATGATTCAAGAGTTAAGGAAGGAGGCAGGGCAGAGGAGACTGGGCAAAGTTTGAAACGGAGAAGAGGAACGGGCAGATGTCTCTGCTCAGCTTTGACTGAACTCACTTTAACACTTGGCATTAATGCCACAGCTAACACTTACTGGATATCTGACAAACACTACACTGACCCCTCTGGACATAACAGCTAATCTGATATTTATAACTCAGTAGTGTGGATCCCATCATTCCCATTTCCCAGATAAGGCAATGGAGGCTTAGTGAGATTAACTATCCGCTATTAGCTGGTCAACCTGCATCTGGAACCCAGCCCATATAGTCAAGACACCAGAAGTTTTAGCAAGTGGCTAGATTTCCCAGACTTTACATTCCTACCAGCCTACAGGGTGAGGGTGCACAGCAAAGGGCCATAAAAAATTCATCTCAAATTTATGCCTCTGTTGTATTAAAAACTGAAGAAGAATAAAAAAAACAGTAAATTAATAGTAAATGGACACTTAATTGAGTATGTGCTGCAGTCTACAGTTGGAACAGCTGGTGGTCTCACCCACACAACCTAAGCTGGGATTTGTCCCTCAACCGTTATCATTCCTGTGCTGCTACTTGTTATTCAGTCATCCAGTCTGCATTCACATCTGAAAGAATCATAAACAGTTATCACTGACGGACACAAATCAATCTCCATAGCAATTATTTATTACAGACAATGGTCTAAGTTTTCCTCTAACTCATGGAAAAACCATGCTTGACTCACTACACAGTAGCCTTCTGTGGACCTTTCCTAACAGCTCAACGTGGAAAAGGGGGCCTCGACTTTTCTCCTCAGAAGAACATCCCAATTCCTACCAAGTGCAAGTTGGCTACAACACTGTAAATCACAGGTTCGTTATTTCCTGTGAGTTACACGACTGACGTGAGTACCATTCCTGTATGTAAACTCACATTGTAAGCATGCATCTAAGCTGCAAAAATCAGGACCAACCAACAGCTTCTAGACAAGAAATAAACAAAAATTAAGGCACATAAAGGTATCCCCACAAAGCTGCTTCATGATGAGACATTAAGAAAAATTTACAACTAATACATATACATTTTAAGCCAAGCAAAGGATAAGTTCATAAATTTTAAGGCATCATTTATGACAATTAATTAGATATATTCACCCTAAACATCATGTTTTTAGATGAATAGATAATTATGTTTGGGGCTTTTATTTTTCTGTTTGCTTGCTTGCTTGCTTGCTTGCTTGTTTGTTTTTAGACATGGTCTCACTATAGAGGCCCTGATGGCTTGGAGCTCACTACATAAACTAGACTGTCCTTTAACTCACAGAGACCCACCTGTCTCTGGGATTAAAGGGGTGCACCAGCTCACTTGTCTAGCATATGGTTTTAATGCTATGGTTTCAACCAAGAAAAAAAAGGGGGGGAGATCAAAACCCCAAGATCCTTCACATGTAGAGGAGACACAGACATTTAATCTGATTTTAGGAAAGACACTTCTCTACAAATCATAATTTGCTGAGTTAAAACAGGACTCTGGCATGAGCAGCTGTGTGTGGGCTACCTAATCAATCAAGAACTTCCTCGGGAGCAGAGATGTCTGGGGAGCAGCCAAGTCCACTTGAGATTGGAACAGGAAGTGGAGTGGCAACAAGAAGAGCGGGAAGGACCCAGAGATGTCCACTCATTCCTCCTCCAAATCTCAAGAGAAGCAACCTGAATGCTACATGCCTTCGTTCAAACACAATTCAACAACAGAGAGAAACCTGCAAGGTGTTAACTGGGCCAGAGTAAGCACCAAAGAGTCACGATTAACAAAGACCCGGCAGGACAAAGAATCATCATGCATAACTGAGTATGGCTACTTAGAATGCCAGTTACCATTACAAATTTTTTTTAAGAGAAAGCTAATTGTTAACCTGTGCCAAGCCAGATTTCCCATACTGGGTTTTTGATTGCTTTTGGCTTTCACAGAAGGATCCTAACTTCAAGGTAAACAGCATGACTAGTTCCTTGTTGCTGTTTTAAAGAACAACCCCTTCCATTATCAGCATTCAAGAATAAATAAGTTATATTTATTGGACTCATCCTAAGAAATTCCTTTGCAGCTCTCTGATAAAGCACACGAAGATTTTTCTACCAAATCATTTACTTTAAGCATTTTTCTGCCCTGAGGTTTATTCTATTTAGGAAATTAATGAAAACAGTATTTATAGTGTATTGCGGAAACTGGATGCCGTGGCTTGTTCTACCTACTCCCACAAGAGAGGGGTCCACACTCACACAAATGGGAACTTTCACTGATTCTCACTAATAGTCATCAAAAAAAAAAAAATTACCTCCTGGTGCATTTTCTAAGAAAATCTTTTCCCCTGTGTGACTTAGAAAGCCATCAAGATTCCCCGCCCTTCCCAGCTCTTTTTGAGCCGCCTTATTTGGTTTCACAGGGGATAGAGACAAAAAAAAAAACCCCAAACCAAACAAAACAAAAACTCTCACATCTTTGAAGGTTACAATGATTTGCAATTGAAACTAATGAAGAAAAACACAGATATCTTGTTTCAACAACATAAACAAAACAAAGCAGAAGAGTAGCGCAGAATGAACAAAAAATCGGGAAGAAAACAAAACAACAACAAAACATTTCACTTTATAGTTAGTTTTCCTACTAAGTTTGGGGAGAATTACCTAAATTTTTAAAATCAGATTTTTAGTACCAATCGAATAGCCATTTGTAACTGTTAAGTTCCATACAAAGGAAAAACAAGTCTTCAATAATTTGCACATCATTTGTAAATACTTTTTACAATCTCATCACAGACATGGGTTGAAACAATTACGAACTTTCAAAACC